ATATATATATATATTTCCTGACATTAACGTGCATGAGAGGGACCTGGTTGAGTGTGGAGCTGCTTTATTAGGATGGCATGGTGGTAGGCAGCAGCCACACAATATAAAATCAGGTAAAGGCCCAGGACATGGCAGGCTTAACTCCAGGAAAAGTTCAAAACTTCTCATGTTTATCCTTTGCCTGTGTTGGCTAGAATGTTGTTTACTAACCAAACAAAAAAGACCCCATGGAATTTGAATTGAATGAGAAACAAGAGGGCTAGGCTCCGGGCAGCTGATCCTGAAAGAGGATGAAAGGTCAGTCAAGGTCCTCTGCTGAAGTGTGGTTGTTTATGTTTACTGAGGTTGCTTGGAAAGACATTCTGTTTTCTTGTAGTAGTGTAAGGGGGGTGGTGGGGGGAGGGGGAGAACTACAAAATAAAAAACTTTTTATGTTCCAGGCACTGAGCTAATATCTTTTCTTTGATTATACATTTAATATATAAGTATATTCTCATTGTAAAAAAAGAAAAGAAAAAGACAACAGATAGAACTTACTTATCCCTTGACCAGAGGGAGAATTTGCCTTTCCATCCCAGATATACTGAATCCAAATCTACAGTTGAACAACATCCCCCAGGTAATTCTTAAGTAACTGGGCGTATTGTTAAAATGTAGATTTTGATTCTGTGAATCTGGAGTGAAAATACAGATCCTCTGCAGGGGGTTAAAGTAGAATGAACCAGTTCAAAGCCCTGCCCTTGACTCTCTACACTGTCCTGTCTCCCTTTCTGGGAGCCACCATTGGGTTGTACACATCAGGACGTATGGGCAGTTCATTCTGTCACTTCTCCTTTGTCAGGGAATACAAAGACAATGCCTTGCTGGCTCAGCTCATCCAGGACAAGCTCGATGCTTATAAAGCCGATGATCCAACAATGGGGGAGGTAAGTCTGGACATCGACCACGTGTTTCTCTTGTCAGCTGACCATAATATTTGTGTCCTGAAGACAGCCCAGTTCTGCTGCTCACAGAGTACTGCTTTTCTTGTGTATTGGCCTCCAGTGAATGCTCATAGCCCTTGCAGCAGGTGACATAGACTACCTTCAGTGTTCTAGGGTGACCAGCTCGTCTGGGTTTAGGACTTTCCTAGATTTAGCCCCGAAAGCCCTGTGTCCCAGGAAACCCCTCAGCAGTACAATACCAAAACCAAAAGACTGACACAATACGCAGCCCATACTCAGATTTTACCAGTGTTTACGTGGATTCATATGTGTGCCTTTGTGACATAGTTAGTGGGTTACATGTTAGGCTGCTCACTGCAGGGTCAGCAGTTTGAACCTACCAGCTGCTCCAAGGATGAGAGATGAGGCTGTCTGCTCTCATAAAGATTTACAGTCTTAGAAACCCTATGGAGCAAAAAAAAAAAAACCCCCACGAGTCGATTGTATGCATAGATTCACATAATACCTCAAGATACAGAACTGAGACCTGGGATTCCCCTTGTTTTTGTTAATTGCCATCAAGTCAGTTCCCACTCAAAGAGACCCTGTATAGATAGGGATTCCAAGGAGCGGCTGGTGAGCTTGAACCGCTGACCTTGCAGTTCAAATGACTTTTGCTGTCCAGCGCATTAACCCACAGCACCACACCAGGCAAAACAGAATGGTCAACCACCTATTTGTAGCTGAACCTGGCTAGTGCTCTCCTACTCACTTTGGCCCCTGTTGTTAGGTGCCATCGAGTTGGTGTGGATTCATAGCGACCTTATGCACAGCAGAATGAAACACTGCCCGATCCTGGGCCAACCTCACTATTGTTGCCACACTTGAACCCACTTTGCCAGTCCATCTCGTCGGGGGTCTTCCTCTTTTTCTCTGACCCTCCACCCTACCAAACATGATATCCTTCTCCAGTGACTGGTCCCTCCTGACAACATGTCCGAAGTATGAGAGACGAAGTTTGGCCATCTTGGCCTCCAAGGAGCACTCTGGCTGCACCTCCTCCAACACAGATCTGTTCGTTCTTTTGGCACTTTCCTCTCCAACACCATAACTCAAAATAATCTAGACGGATAAATCTTATTATACAGTACAAATGTTGGATACTAAAGTGGCTTTCATTAGTATTCTTGTTGAACAGTTAATTCAGTACCACTTTGTTAAGTTTGTACCTCAGAGCTCATTTCCTGTTCCCCCTCTTACAAGAGGAGCTACCCTAGTTGGAGAAGCTGGAGCTATGTGCAGTGGCTTGTAAAAGCATGTCCTTCTTTTCTTCCCAGGGCCCAGACAAGGCACGCTCCCAGCTTCTGATCCTGGACCGGGGCTTTGACCCCAGCTCCCCGGTACTTCATGAACTGACTTTCCAGGCGATGAGTTATGACTTGCTGCCTATTGAAAATGATGTGTACAAGTGAGTATCATATGGCAGACCCCAGAGACGCTGTAGCTTTGTAAACAAATAAAAAATGTTTCTAACTTGAGAAAGACATTTTAAATCCCAGGAAAAACAGATATATTGATAACAGTCTTCATGATAAATTTACAGACTTTTCAGTGAGTTCCCAAAGTCCATATGGTATTTCTAGCCAGAAAATCATGCCCCTTTTAGGGGAGGAGCAGAGGGCTCTGGGTCTGTAGTTCACACATCTGGTCACAACAGTTCATGGCCAGCTTGGATGTGATCCCTACCCCCTCCTCCAAAAAAAAGAGGTATTTTACATTCAGTTCATACTTCTTAATTGTAGATCATGAATTATGAATGGTAAAATATAGGGGGCTGCAAAAAGTTCATGGAAAGATTCCAGTATCTTTTCATTCCATTTCCCCACAAATTTTTGTATATTAACAGGAGTTTTTTTCTGAACTGCCTTTGGAGAGGAGTTGTCATTTCCTACATTATAAAGGACATTTTTCTTAGTAGCAGTCATCAGAAACTGCATTTCTAAAGACTAATTTTCATTTTTATGGAGACAGACTGTACTGTTCATATGTCATTTATATTATTGACCACAAAAATAGTGGTTTCAAAGTGAAAGTTTGAAAAATCTGCTCTTCTCTTTTTCAGTTAGTCTTGTAATTTTTGCTTTCCTCGGAATGTTAATGATTTCACAGGTAAAAACATATGGAGAGTCTGTTGCAGGTACCTACTGAAGCTAAAGTAGAGCCTGCGAAAGCTGAAACTCCACCAGACTGCCTTGTTTTTCCAGGTCTCGCAAGTTTCCCATTTTCGACAATGTGTAGTCTTAGCACTTTATCTCACTCTCTATTAGTGCGAAATATTTAGTTTTCCTTCTCCAACAGGTTTCCACCTTACACAGGTTCTCGTTTTTGCAGGATTTATTGTACTTGGGTACCACATATTTGAGGTTAGTAACCAGTCCCATTCTTGGAAAGAGTAACTATGGTCATTGGATCTCTGTTGATGCAGTGATTAAAGCACTCTGCTGCCAACTGAAAGCGGCAGTTTGAACCCACCAGCCACTCTGCAAGAGAAAGATGTGGCAGTCTGCTCCATCAAGATTTATAGCCTCGGAAACCCCTATGGGGCAGTTTTCCCCTGCCCTGTAGCGTTACTGTGAGTGGGAATCTACTCAGTGGCAATAGGTTTGGGTTTGGGTTTTCATTGTAAACCCATGTATAGTCTGCTGGTGCTCATATTAATAACCACCCTTGAGGATTTTCAAACAAATTATCAAGTTAGTTGACTTTGATTGACGCTTTGAGCCTCTCCCTGCCCAAGGAATTGCAGCCCATTTATTAGTGCTGCTACAGCAGGCCTGATGACCATCAAAGGGTCAGGTGAAATCATTCCTGTAACATCGCCTGTAAAGACTCTGAGCTTCCTCTTTATAAAGAACAGAGGAGTGGGTGGATTTTGTGGGACAGCGTGCTCCACCTGAGCCATGCGTCCCCTCCAGGTACGAGACAAGCGGCATTGGAGAGGCACGGGTGAAGGAGGTGCTCCTGGACGAGGATGACGATCTCTGGATAACGCTGCGTCACAAGCACATCGCCGAGGTGTCCCAGTAAGCGTGCCCTGCCCCCCCCCCCTTGATGATTTGATGATGTGCATACTCTGGGCAGCTGGGGCACAGTTGATCACTAGATGACTGTTGCTTTGGTGGAACGGCCAACATGCAAACCAAGAAGGATATATCCCTCTGGTCTCTAAGCTTGAGTTATTACCAACTCGACAGTTAGAAAATCCATTCTGTATGAGGGTTGCTTTTAGGATTCTTGGAAAGCATTTGTAGTCATCTCAGCAAAATGTTTTATAAACACCAAACACTGAAAGCCAAGATATTGCATAGAAAGATGCAGACCTACTGCATAAAGTTAGACTTTTCTTTTGCACAGCTAGTATTTCCTCCCCTGTTGTCATGATATGAGCAAAAGTTGATATCCACATACTGATCTGTACCCTACTCTGACAGTATTTCAGAGTGATTCTAAAACCAAGATATTGTTAGAATACATTCAAACTATAGATGACAGTTCTGCTTTTGTAGGAAAACACATTCTACTGTGTTGATTTAGTAATATCAGGAAATTCACATGGAAAAGAGCGAGCTGTGGATGTTTCTGTGTAAAAAAGTGGTCTCCACACCCTTTTGATCTCTCAACTTTAAAAACTCTTGATCCCCATTTCCAGTATTTAAATTGATTTGTGAACTAAATGTATGCTTTATTGTACTCATATGTATATTTTCTATCATACACAAAAGCATAAACATGAAAAGGATAAGGTAAGATAATTATGGATACAGGCAGACCTCAGAGGTATTAATTACCAGTTCAGTTCCAAACCACCACAATGAAGCAAGTCACATAAACATTTTGGTTTCCCCATGCATATCAAAGTTCTGTGTACACTATGCTGTATAGTCTATTAAGTATGCAATAGCATTATGAAAAAGTTCAAATACTGTGAGGATTACCAAAATGTAACACAGAGACTTGGAAGTTAGCACATGCTTTTGGGTAGACTTCCTCAACTCAAGGTTGCCACAAACCTTCAATCTTTGAAAAACACAATATCTGAAAAGTACAATAAAAGAAGGTGCGCCTGTAGATGTTTTAGTAGTTTCTACCCTCTTCCCCATGCTCTCGGGGAAACCACTGTTTTCGAATATTTGAAAAACTATGTAGTTCTTTCTTTTCTTAGAAAATCACTTTAAATAAACACCTACCATACTGGCAGGGAAACCGTTGCTGTATATTCTTAAAAGAAGACTATTGCATTCTTTCTGTGTAGAGTCACTTGGCGTTACTTTTTAAACTGAGTTCTGTCTGCTCCTGTTTCACAGGGAGGTCACTCGTTCTCTGAAAGATTTTTCTTCTAGCAAGAGAATGAACACTGGAGAGAAGGTAAACCCATACCCTTGCTCAGATACCCTCTAAGTTAATCCCTGCCTTCTCTCTCGAGCAGGGAGGATACCTCATCAGGACAAGACTAGCGTATTCCTCTCTTTGTTTAATGCCATTGCTATCTTATGCTGATTTTTTCAGATCTTTTAATATTTTAGACAACTTCTTTTTGTTATTTTGAGGATTAATAGTTACTCTTTGGATCATGATTCATTTACGTTAGAGAGGCTTTGGAAGTTTTCTAAGCTTACAGTAGAATTAAAATTCATAATTTAACTTAACCTGTGCCTCTCCTTTTGAATGTTTATCAGAGATTGCATACCCTTCTTAGCCAATGAAAGTGAGCTTTCTAAAATGAAGCTCTGATTGTGTTGCCTTCCTGCTTAAAACCATTTAGTGACTGCCCAGTGCCCTAGAATAAAGCCCCACTCATATACACTGGACTGTTAACCACAAGGTCAGTAGTTCAAAACCATCAGCTGTTCCTTGGAAACCCTATCCATACACGGTCACTTTGAGTCAGATTGACTTGATGGCACTTAGCAACAACATAGACATCCCTTACAAGACTGAAGTCACCAGGCCCCATGTCTCTTTCTTTAGTCTCTCAGCCTCTGTCCTTCTTGTCCCTGCTCCCTCTAACCCCGACCATGCCAGTACTCTCTTGTCTCTGGCCCTTGTCTTGCTAAATCCTGGTTCTTTGGTTCAGGCATCACTTCCTAATCTTCCCTAGTCTTTTTAAAGTGCCTTTGCTATGTGCTAATCGAGTGACTCTGTTATTTTTAAGTCCTGTCAAGTCAGTTCTGACTCAGGAGTGGCTGTTTTCAGTTAGCAGTCCAGTGTTTACCCTATAGTGTCACACCAGGACTCCTTTGGATAATACTAGTGCCACTCTACTGTGACAGCTTACTTATCTGGCTCTTCTGCTAGGTATTAAGCTCCATAAGGCAGAAATTCCTTTTTATTATTATTTTGTCCTGGTATTTATAGCACCTCAAGGTTCCTGGCATGTTAGGGTAACTCAGTAAATGTGGATGAATAGGATTAGGTGGATCACGCATCTGGGAAGTAAACAGACCCATTCCATTAGGCAGCATTCGGATTGCAGCCTTCTATAGCCTCCTCCTTAATGAAGCCAGCACAGCCCTTCGCCTGTCTGAAATGTGAGCTTCCTGCTAGACTGCTTGAGCTGAGTGTACAGAAAAGCAGTGTGTAGAAGAAAAATCTTTTTCTGCCCAGCGTAAATGTCATCAGGTTGGTCCCAACTCATAGCAACCCTGTACAGTGTTTCTAAGGAGAAGCTGGTGAAGTTTGAACCACCAATCTTGCGATTCATATCGACCTTGCGGTCAAGTCCTTATCTTACAGCGCCACACCAGGACTCAATAACTTTATAGTTGAATAAATAAAACATGGTTGTGAGATTTCAGAGTTCAGTTCCCCGCCTATAATATGATTAAGGTATTTGAATAATTTTTTTAACCAGGGAGCTGGAAATCTGCACGCCTATGACCTTGTGTTTAGCAGACACATTTAGTTACACAGCGTGCACTTGAGACGTCTGGTGCTCACTGTAATCTCATCTGATCCCACCACCCATGCACAGCCTTGTTAGAGCAGAGCCAGTGGAGTGAGACTCATGCTTTCATTTCCATGTAGACCACTATGCGGGACCTGTCCCAGATGCTGAAGAAGATGCCCCAGTACCAGAAAGAACTCAGCAAGGTATGGCGATGCAAAACGACCCATTTAGAACTGTGAGGATAAACATCTTCCAAATGACTTCTCAAAAGTCTGGATACACTAATTTACACAGGTTTTTTTAGTCATCTTTAATTTTTATTAGGAAAAAAAGAAAAGTTGGGATAGGCATCTTACTTCTCGCTTTCTTTTCTCGTATTCATACCTTTCTCTCTATATCCTTCCTATTCTCCTGCTGTTGAGAGGAGGCCACAGGGCTGTTGGAGTGTCCTCCCTGCATGGTAAGAGAGTGCCGAGAGAGAGCAGGCACATACGAGGAGGAGGAGGTCACAACGCCTTTCATCTCCTGATGTCAGACATCACACCTGTCACTTGCTCGGCACTAAGTCTGGCCCACATTCAGGGGAAGGGGAACTAAACTCCACAGCCTGAAGGAGAGGAGTATGCAGGATTCTGTGGGCAGATTGTAAAGCCATCACCATTATCTTCTTTGTGAAGCTAGAGACTCTGTAGTTCTACCATGGTGCTTTGTCCATAGCAGATGCTCAGTAGATGGTGCATGAATCTGTGACGAGCTCCTTGTTCACAAGCTGTCTCATGTTTTTTCCCAGTATTCCACCCACCTGCACCTTGCTGAGGACTGTATGAAGCATTACCAAGGCACCGTAGATAAACTCTGCCGAGTGGAGCAGGTAGGACTTTTCCTCCCAGGGCCAGGTTTCTGCCATGTCTGTTTACCGTGCTGAATTGTAACCATTTGACCTTGAACATCCTATAGAGTCTTAGGAAGTAGAGATGGGAAATCCTACTAGTTCGTGTTGTCTCAACTCTCTGGAGCCAATGCAGTTCGGCTCCCAATGGTAGGGACTAGATCGGTCTGGATTTTGCATGTCTGACTCTTTCCAAAGGCTCCATTTTCCATGGAATTACCGAAGAGAGATTTGTGGAGTCCTGAGCCCTACTGGCAGGTGTGGCTAGATGTGATATCCTGAATGTGTCCTCACCCTGCTGTGCTCAGACCAGCTCTGGAGACCTAGAGTCTGAAAGAGGAGAGTGTGGTGGTAGTCAGAAAACCTTGAGACCTCATGATCATAATTAGGACTGAAAGCTGAGTTTGGGATTTGATTTCTGTGTCTGTCACTGATTTATTTATGCACTTTGTTTTCCTCATCTGCAAAATAGAAATAGCCGTGCTGACACATTCAGAGGTGTTCTGTGGAGTACCCAATCCTGGCACTACAGTCTGCAAGTATGCCAGCATTATTAAGATGTGCACCAACTTCAAAGGAAAGAAGGGAGCATTAAAAAGATTCTATAGCTCTCTTTTCACACACACAAAAAAATTCAAGTTTTCAGTTTGAGACTGAAATATAAATCATCTGGTTTGATGTGATACCCTCAGTGTGGGTTTGTGAGCCCAGTCCTCTCATTGACTCTAAGAGAAAGTAGCTGTACTAGGATCCCTCCAGAAAACAGGCTCTTCCTCCATCAGTTAGAATGCAGTTTGGGATTGATCCTTGGAGGTATAAACTTAATCAAAAGTGTTCAAAAGTATTTGTTGAACTGTTTGTTGTTAAGTGCCATCGAGTCGGTTCCAACACGTATGACCCTGTATAGGGTTTCTGAGGAGTAGCTGATGGGTTTGAGTGTTAACAGTCCAGTGCTTATCTTAAAGAGCCAATTTGTTGAGCTGGTTACATTTAATTTGGTGTGTAGAAAGTATTAGAATCAGGACCTGCTGACTGAATATATGTTAAGACTGGCAGTAGGACTGAGGTAAAGGGCCTAAGAGAGGTGGGCCCAGGCTTCGTCTGACCCAAACTGGGGAAAAACTTGTGATCATAATTTTTATGGACTTGTGGGATGTTGAGAGAAACAAGGGCGCCTTCCCTCATACCATCTCCTTAACAACTACAAAGGAGTTGTAGCTGTGCGTCTCTGAGAAGACCAGATGGTCTCAGATTGCTGAGAATAACGTGCTGCTTTCTCAGGCCTGCTGAAAACAGATGTGTGACCCTTGATCATAAAATGGTGGCCAGTAAGACTGGACCAACTCCACTCTTCCATCTTCAGTCCTTTTGTCAGCCCTCCTTCCTCCCTTTAGCTACCTGGGTTTCGAGTTGCAGATTTGGGAGCCCACTTTTTTTCTCTTCTTCAAAAAATAAAAGAGTAGGAAAATTTAAAAGGCGGGGCTAGTCCTAGAATACTTAAAACTCCAAAAGCAGAGTGGGAAGACTCTAGATAAGCCAACGCACCTTACAGTGTCAAAGCTTTTCATGTGCAGGAAGCACATCCCTTTAAGCCTGAACCCCCAGCAGAGCTTGGTACCTCTGGAGGCTCTACCAAGATTGAATTTTTACCTGAGGAACTGCAATGCACAGGTATAGTCACCTGGAGAGACAGCCCACCTTTCAACAAAACAACAGGTCGTTGTAGTTTTTGTTTTGGGGCAGTGAAATTCTAGAGTGTTCATCAGTTCTCACGAATGCTTTAGGAAATATTGCTAATTACACTAATCCTAATTACAGTGCCATGGGAAGTAGAAGCACCTGGTTAAAGCCCTTCCCCACAAAAGCTACAAATTGCAAATGTTTAGGGGCCACCCATTTTCTAATAGTTCACAAATATCCAGATTGTCCCCAGAAATGGGACCAATGAGGTGTGTTTTCTGTAGGACCTGGCCATGGGCACAGATGCTGAAGGGGAGAAGATCAAAGACCCCATGAGAGCCATCGTTCCCATTCTGCTGGATGCAAATGTCACCACTTATGACAAAATCCGTATCATCCTTCTCTACATCTTTTTGAAGAATGGTAGGAATGGTGGAATTATAGGGGAGAGAATGGACACTTTCTTGAGGCAGCTGGGAGAGTGAAACCAAGTAGTTAAAAGATGAGTTTAAAGGATATGGAAAGAAGGAGAAAGAGAAGGCACTGCATAAGACCCTAGAGGCTCTTTACATTTCGGGGAATGAAATGTTGGCAAATCAATCACAGCCAGAGACTAAATGTCTCCCAGTAATTCTAGAGGTAATAGCTGCTATAGGAAATATAGAAAAGTGCTGGGGAGAAAAAGGAGAGCTGGTTGACCATCAAAATTCCTTACAGCAGAATTTTTTATCTTACATCTCAGTTGTGATCTTTGTCTTTAAATAGCTGAATTTTACCCATACTCTTGTTACCTATAAGTATCCATTATTTAAAACATGAGTACTAAGCTCTCTTGGTCCAATTTGACTTTGATAGGTGGGGGACAGATGGCATAGACTGTGATGGGAGCAGTTGCTTAGAATGGACAGTGGAACTTGGGGGATTCCAGAGTTGTGATGTGTTTTGACTTGTATACTAAAACTTGACTTCCACTCCCTGTGTAATACTCACCTTACAGTAAAGTTGATGTGGCAACAGAACAATTCCCTCCAAACCTGAAGAGGAGAAGGGCTCTGCACTATCGGGGCCAAAGCTCACCCGGCTTCTGATGCTCCCGTGTGCCATGACTGGCTTTTGCTCATTGGGTTTTTCTGTCGTCACAGGCATTACTGAGGAAAACCTAAACAAGCTGATCCAGCATGCCCAAATTCCCCCCGAGGACAGTGAGATCATCACCAATATGGCCCACCTTGGCGTGCCCATCGTCACCGACGTAAGGGCTTCTTCTCAGCCCCCAGGCCAGCTTTCCATATAGGAGAGGCAGAGAAGACGCTGATGTGTTTGATCTGTTTATGCTCTGACTTATTTAAGGCAGTTTATGATGTACACATATGCACACACTCAGCATCAAGAAATAGAAAACAGATAAAATCAGGATTCATGAAAATAGAGGTAAGAAGTCAAGCCCCTAGAAGTGTATATCCAGAGTGATGCATAGTTATGAAAGCCAAGCTGTGTTTGGGACCAAACCAAAGTAGGACTCTGGTCAGCTTCACTCTTCACTTCCTGCAGTTGTGCTGGCTTTGCCTTTGGAGCAAGTATCTTCTGTGAAGATGAGAACAGAACCCTTAGGGCCGAGCAGTGTTACCACCTTTCTGTAGTCTGCAGAGCAGACTCTCTGGGAAGCATGGCGCACACCAGGGCTCTCCAGAAGAGGGGTGGTGACTCCGGGCCTTTACGATGAGGCTAGAGCCGTCTTTCAGAGCACCATGCTGTTTAGATCCTTGAATGGAGAGGATTCATCCAGTACAGCTAAGGCAGTTGAGACTAAATCTAAGAATACATCACACCCAAAGTACTATTTTCTCCTCAAATAGGCAGCAAACGCCTTTTTTTAATAACACAATCTGACCTGCACGTGTCATTTTACATAACTTTAAAAGAAAACCTTGTCTTCTTATCACTCTGCTGTTGTCTGTGAGAAGAGTCCTTAGGAGATCGTGTCCAGGTAGCAGCAGGTCGTCCCCTGACCCAATCAGACTAATCTTGTGTGTTTGCGTTCAGTCCACTTTGCGCCGCAGGAGCAAGCCAGAGCGGAAGGAGCGCATTAGTGAGCAGACCTACCAGCTCTCACGATGGACCCCGATTATTAAAGACATCATGGAGGTCAGTGAGGGGAGAGGTGTTGGGGTGCATCATGTCAGAGACCCATGGCACAGGTTCTTCATGTGAAGGCCTAGATGATATCAATGTGGCCCTCAAAAAAACACCAGGGTTTTAGTTCTTGAAGATTTGCATCCAGTCTCTAGGGCTCTTTCAACTTCACCCAAATATACACCGTGTCCTGAGTGTTTTACTGTTCCATGTCTGCGACCCTTATCTTTGAGGATCTAGTCCTACGTTGTGGGGACATGTCTTCAAAGGAACCAGCGTATTCAGTGTCACAGAGATCTGATGAGTCACATGTTCACGCCTCCACAGAGAGGATGCTCGTGTGCATTTGGTGATGCAGCAGCCCCCTAGCCCCTCCCCAGTACTGTGGAAGGACCTCTGGAATGGACCTGGCCCCCTCTCTCTGTTCCTGCTGCTCCCCTTCCCCAGCCAGACCAGACCTGCCAAGCATCTTCTTCATCTGCTGTTTGGTTCAAACTTGGTCCCTGACCTGGAATATTCTTGCCCTTCTTTTTCACTTCCCGTGTCCTGCTTTCTTTCAAAATCACCGTTGTTGTTGTGAAGTGCCATTCAGTCAGTTGCAACTCATATCAACCCTGTATAGGGTTTCTGAGGAGTGGCTGGTGGGTTTGAACCACCAACCTTGCTGTCCAGTGCATTAGCCTGCAGCGCCACACCAGGACTCCTAAAATCTCTGTTAGAACCCATCATTTCCATTAATCACCCCTCCTGTCTGGCCACCCAGCACCACCGCAGCCCTCTTGAGTTCTTGCAGCGTTTGTCAAGGTGGATGTGTATATTCTGTCCCCTCAACCACTGTTTCTTTCCTCACAGTGCCTTGCACATAGCAGGGGTTCTGAGTGTTGAGCGTTCAGTGTTGGTCCTCACAGCAGCCCTACCTGAAAGACTCCTCTTTTCCTTGTAGCATGAGGGAACCCTCCACTGAGTCCTGGATCACTACCTCTGTAGGGTTGGATTTAGAGGTAATCTGTCCAAATCCCTCAACTTGACCAGTGAACAAAATGTGTTGAGAATGAAGGGCCTTGCCCACGAGCCATTAGTTAATTTGTGGCAGGCTTGGGTGAGAGCCCAGGTGTTCGTACTGAATAGTATGTCTCTACACAGAGAATCAGCTTTCTATTTTTAAAACCCACAAACCAAAAGGATGGGTGAACATGAGACATCTAGAAGCCAATTACATGTCTGTAATTGTAATTACTTGGTGGGATAGATAAAGCCAACCCTCAGCCTTATCCTTTCTTTTATTCTCTGCTCTGCTCTTCTACCTCCTCCCCCAGCCTCCTGAAGAGACTTGGGTAGCTGGTAGGAGGAGTGTAGATTTCTAGACAGCAAGGAGGTGGATAACTGGAATCTACCCACCAGATAATTAGACCCCTGAAAAACTGAGGGTGTATAAGTCTTTCTGCATGAGACATTTTGCCCATGCCCTGTTCCTGCAATACTGATGGCAAATGTCAGGAATTTATTGGACAGAATACAGTATATATAACCACCTCACATTGGATGTAAAAAGGAGGGGGGGGGAGCAGATTAAGTTGGAAGAGAAGCAAGAAAATCAATGTGTTTTTTTGTTTTCACTAAAAGAGCAGACCTACACATTCATTTCATTGTAACATGAGCACCTTGTTCAAGCTAAACCCTTCACTAGGCACCTGGCAGGAGGCAGTGAGGGCACAGGTGTGCTGCTTGTTGCAAAACTGGAGTCCACCCATCATGTTTTTTAACTGACTTCTTGTTCTTCAAATAATCTTGTCTTGGTTCCCATCAGCCCTTTTCCAACAGATGGCAGGCCTGATCTCTGTCTCTCTTCTTCCAGGACACTATTGAGGACAAACTGGACACAAAGCACTACCCCTACATCTCTACCCGCTCCTCTGCCTCTTTCAGTACCACCGCTGTCAGGTAGGCAAAAAGCCCTAGGCGAGAAGGGGCTACTAAGTGGGGCGTCTCCAGTTGTATTTCAGCTGTATGGCATGATCTTTCAGAACCCTCCCGTGGTGCCTTATCACACCAAGAATGTAGTCTTCACGTTGGCCATGAGGCCCCTCACTCTCTGGCTTCACATCACCTGTCTGACTCAGGACTCTTGTTCCTTCACTCACGCCACCTCAGCACTCTTCCTTGAACTTCCCAGGCCCACTCTGCCTCAAGCCCTTTGTACTTGCTTTCCCCTCTTCCTATAATTAATTAACTGTCCCAAGATACATCTACAAGGCTCAACTCTTCATCACCTTCAGGTCTTTAATCAAACATTACCTTTGAGACCTTCCCTAACCATCCTATTGACTGATTCATGATAGTCAAAAGGTGGACATAACTCAAATACCCCTTAGTGGATGAATGGATAAACAAAATGTAGTAAAGCCATGCAATGACACATTATTTAACCATGAAAAGGAATGAAGTTCTAATACATGCTATATACAGCATGATGAACTCTGACAATGTTATACTAAGTGAAAGAAGGCAGATACAGAGGACAATGCTGTGTGATCCCATTGATGTAGAATGTCTGGAATAGGCAAATCTATAGAGGCTGTAGGTAGATTCACGATTGCCAGAGGCTGGGTAGAATGAGGAATGACAGCTATAGGGCCTGGGGTGTCTATTTGAGTGATGTAACACTTCTAAAGTGGTGCTGATGGTTGCACAGCTTTTTACTGAAAACTGTTGAGTTGTGTACTTTAAAGGAGGGAGTTGTTTGGTATATGAATTATATCTCATTAGAGAGTTTACAAAAAAACAAAAAAAACTTCAGCCTCCCTCTCCAACACTCCTGTCTCTCTTCTCTGCTTCATTTTTCTCCCTAGAACACACCACCAACTAGTGTACTATTGATATTTATCTTGTTTCTTATCAGTCTTCCCTCCAACTAGAATGTTGGCTTCCTGAGGGCATAGGTTTGGTTTTATGTTGTTTGCTATTGTGTCCTCAGAGACTATAATACCGGTCTAGCAGGTGGTAGGTGCTAGCTGTAGACTTATTTTTATTCATTGAGGAGAGGAGCTCGACACTGTCTGCATCAAGTCACATTCTCAGATTCATTCCCAGTCGAGTATAGATGGGTATGTGGGTACGTTGCATTATTGTGTTTCTGCTGCATACCTGGTAATGTTCAGCCTTTTAGCAGTTTTGAGACTAAAGTAGCCGAGAATCCATTACTTTTGTCCCTGGATTCTCAGCGATCTGTGTTTTCTTGATGCTCACAGTGGCCCCTTACAGGGAATGATCTGGAAAGTGTTTCCCTCGGTTTCCTTGATGCACTCCTCCAGATACCATCTCTCCTGAGCTCTCTATGTGACGTCTCTATGTACCAGGCTCCGGGATGCTGTCATACATAGACGTACATTTTGTCTCCAGGTTCTGCCCTCTGCCTCCCTGTCTGTGTGGGCCAGGTTGCTTCCTGATGCCCAATAGCACCTATTACCTTGCCTGAGGTGGGGCTACAGTACTTCAGCAGCCTCAGAGCCGGGGTGTTGCTCTGTTTTCCTTTGTTAATGGGAGCCTTTCTTGGTTCCTGAGAACAGTGAAGATTGGATAGGTGAGCTCAGTGCAGTAGGGTGACCAGCTCCAGAGAAGGGACCATGTGCCAGTGGTGTGATGTGCAGCTCCTGGGATGAATGCTGTTTACGATGTGCCCCCCCTTGCCCCTCTTGTCAGACTCTTCCCACCTTTCTCTCACCTCTTCTTTCTGTCTTTACTTTTAGACCTTCAAGGCCTGAGGCCTACCAGTGGCATCTTGTACATTGTATATCCCCTCTGATGCCAGCCTTGAAGGAAAGTACAAAATCCCAAGTAATACTACAGCCAGGCTGGCTGCCTATAGAGGACTACCAAACAATTGCCTAGGGAAAGAAAGGGATGGAAATCCCCACAGTCAGTAACTTCTAGATTTGGAAAGTGACTTAAATGCTCTCTGACTCGGGAGGAAGGGTAAACTGTTTACCACCCAGAGGATATTTTGGCTTGGTCATCATTTTTGTTGTATTTTTCGTATTTTATTAACCTGGAAGCAACTCACCGCTCCTGTTTCTGAGTTAAGGGAGTAGTCTGACTCTCCATGCAGGACCTGGCCCATGTGTGTTCAGTGAATAAATATGTCATCTCAAGCCGGCTCTTGAACTCTGTCATCACTGCTCCCTGGCAGCAGTTGTCCCAGGCAAGCTGGGCTCCATGCATGCTCTGGGGAAAATGCGTGGACTGGCATGCAGAGCAGCTCGAACTCCAAAGCTGGATGGAGCCTGCCTGCTGCCTGCATGGGTCTTGGAGAGTTTCAGGGTCACTGCACAGATAACTCATAGTGACTCTTCTCCTAGAAGCCATCCAAAAAATGAAACCCAACGCCATCCTGCTGATTCCTACTGCTAGTAGCCCTAAAAGAATAAAACAATTCCATAGGATTTCCAAGGCCCTAAATCTTTATGGAAGCAGACTGCTACAGCTTTCTCCTGTGGAGCAACTAGTGTGGGGGTTCTAAACTTTGGATTAGCAACCAGATGCTTTAAACCACTGTGCAACCAGGGTTCCTTACCTGGCAGCCATATCACTTAATAATTGGCATTGCCACACAGTTTAACCAGCACTTAGCATTTACTCTGTTTTGGGCAAATCACTGAGATATAAAGTGATAAATGCTATCAGTGAAGAAAACATAATTAATCTCTGTCTCTCTCTCTCCTTTCTTGCTCTGTCTCTCTCTTCCCTGCCTCTCAGTGCTCGCTATGGACACTGGCATAAGAATAAGGCTCCAGGGGAGTACCGCAGTGGCCCCCGCCTCATTATTTTCATCCTTGGGGGCGTGAGCTTGAATGAGATGCGTTGTGCTTACGAGGTGACCCAAGCCAATGGAAAGTGGGAAGTGCTAATAGGTGAGTAGAGGGATGCTTTCTAGAGGGAAAGGGCTGCTTTGTTGCACTTTGACTCCATCCCATGCTTTGGTGTTTCATCGAGTCTCCATTACCCTGCCAAACGTAGTCTCTAGATAAATGTTTGCGATGGCAGAAGCTAGGGGCACAAGGCTCCTTCCTCATGTCTGCATTGTATCTCTTGTTAAGAAGCACCATGAGGCAGGAAATGGCTGATCATAGAGTCCAACAGGCCCAGGCTCAAATTCCTGCTCTGCCGCTGACACATAGTGTCACCAAGAACAAGTGACTCTACGAGGCTGTAATTTCAACACAAGGGTTAATAATACTTAGTTACTGCCTTGGGATAAGCCTTAGATGGGATTTGTCAACTTCCTAGCACTGGGCTTCATGTCTAAAGATATTCATTGAACAGGAGACAAATTCTTAGCTTCCTTTAGAACTATTCAGTTGGAGATGGACAGACACAGTGTGTGAGTGGGTGTGGCCGAAAATGTTTTGGAACCAACTGTTGGACTCTGAGAAAAGTTTTCCTGACCGCTTCCTAAGTCTAGTGTACCCTTTCTGGTATTTCCTGTTGGTTTTCTAAAAAAAGAAGCACCTCCTAGATGTAGTTGAGAGCAGGAGAAAAGGCTTGTTGGGGGTTGTTTTTTTTACCATGAGGAGCTTCCACTAGTTGTAGGACTGGAAGAGGAAGAGTGAACCGAGAGAAATCTTCCTTCCTGCCTCATCTTTTGCACTTAACAAAATAGTTGCACCTGCACTGGGTGCCTCTTGACATTGATTGGCATATGAGGTGCTGGCTGTCCCCCAGAGCTCTTCTGCACCCAGTGGGCATGATCCACTCCAGTGCCATTTTCACATGAACTGCAAAAGTGGGAAGTCCTGAGCTGGCACCCCTACCAGTAGGTGCCCCTACTGACCACAGTCCCAAGCCTAGTTATCAGCCCAGTAAATGTCAGTTTTATATGCTCCAATTTGGGGTAATCAAATCACATACTCCCAAAGCTACGAGAGTACACAGTTTCTGCAGACCAGGCCATCTCGCCGATCCTGGGTTCATCAAGATGGACTGGACGCAGCCAACCCCACATTGTTGATACCAGAGGGGAGATTGTGCATCCCTCCTTCTCCCTCTCCTAACTTCCTGAAACTTCCTTTCCCTGTCTATTCAGCAGTCCTTTTTGTAATGAGTTTTTCCTTTTTGCTCTGTAGGCCCAGTGATAAAGCCCTCTGCTCCTTGTTTGCATACATGTTGCATGCATGTTCATAGGTCACTCTGAGCTCAGACACAGCTTTCCTGAACAGACACTGTCACAGTGAGGCTTTTGATTGTAAATATTCACTTCATCTCTGGACCTCAATAACTTGAGGTTCCCTGTTGGGAGGTGGGCACCTGGGGGTATAAAGTTGCCCATGAAGATTCATGACGAAGCCTCACACAGACAGCCGATGTCCAGTGTGCTCTCACCTGCCTCCTGCACATCAGCTCTCCATGCTGCCCCTGTGTGTGTGTGTGCCCATGTGCATGCGTGTGCGTGTGCCTCGCTTTCTCAGACCTCTCTGGCTGTGCAAAATGTAGGCCTAAGTTGGCATGTTCCTGTAACGTACGTTTGTTCAAGCAGTCAGCTGGCCTCTGTTCTCCCACAGGTTCTACTCATATTCTTACTCCCACCAAATTTCTCATGGACCTGAGACACCCCGACTTCAGGGAGTCCTCTAGGGTATCTTTTGAGGATCAGGCTCCAACAATGGAGTGAGAGCCAAAGAAACAAAGTAAAAGCAGCTTATTACAGAAAAGAAGCTCTTCCACTCTGAAGGGTTTTCTTTGATTACTCCGTCACTCTTTCTCTTTATTTTTCCCTTTTTTTAGTTTATTATTTATTTGATTTTCTTTCAATGAGAAAATGCTTGCAGTTCTTAATGCCGATTGAAAATGTGTCCAATGCTACCTTCACAAACCCTGCCGTGGTACTCTCTGGGCTCCGGCTTGTCAGCTCACCCATGCCTTGGGTTACCTGCTGCTCAGTCAGACAGCTGCAGGCCAGTGGGTTTTAAACTGAAAGTAGTACCTGCTAAGAACAGTCCTCAGAGAGGGAGCAGGAAGTTGAGGGACGTCTGAGGCACGATGCCCAAGCCTGCCAGCTCTGAATGTATGGACACCACATAGAGAACATGCAGCATCCTGGTCGTGGTGGTGTAAGAACTTGAGAGTGAAACTAGTGGGCAAGCATATGGAGGGGGTCATGTCCAAGAAGGCAGAAACCTAGTAGAGTCCCATCAGAGCCTGATCGGGAAGACAGGCAGGAGTCTGGCTTTGCCTTTCAAGTCTAGGCATGGGAATAGATTCCAAGTCAGTGATAGCTAAGTCAGGCAAATACCTTTCTCCTAGGGCCAGCCCTTATCCTAGGGAACAGTTTCTAAGGCATTACTGGGTCACAGGCCACCATGTACTTGGTGAACTGGACTCATCCATGGAAAGAACTTTTGTCTCATGTTCCTCTGGGGAGAAATGGTGCTTACTGGTTATTTGCTCTTAGAATTGCTTGTATTTTAATTCCCCTTGAGAGAGTCAAGTAGTCACACCCTTCCTCCCTACTGCAGTCTCTTGGTGTGATCTGAGAGCCTGTGGGTAGAAATCTGCTCTTAACTCACGTGTTGTTTTAAGAGCATCTGCTCTCCCCATCTGGATTGTGCCTCTAGCTAGTCCTCAGTTACCAGGAGCTTGTTATCTGTGTGTAGATTATCTAGATTCTGTCCTCTTCCTGGTTCTTTCTCCCTTTCTAGTCTCATATGCTAGGAACCTCCTATAATGGGTTTGGATAGCAGACCTATGCTGACCAATTCTGTCATAGTATTAGGAATTCCTTAGCCTCTTTGTACATTCTGTGATCTGAGGACACCTTTTGTTCTCAGACTTTATACTCCATCAATGATGGACCCTGAGAACGCCCCTTCACCCTGGTGTTGAGGCATGGCCTGGTGAGTCAGAGTTTGCTGGCTGTTGGCAGTGACGCGACACTTGGGTTTGGATCAGCTTGGCCATGAGCACCCAGTATAACTGTAGGAGGTCATTTCCATCTCCCAGGTTCTGTCAATCTGTAGTCCAGTCATTCAGACTTGTGACTCAAACCATGGAGTCCAACCCACTCTCTCTCCCTTTCTGATGAACCTCAGGGCAATTTGGGTCTGTCAGACAGCTTGGCTACATAATATCAGAAGTATTATGCTTGTTTATGTAAAGATAATGGTGGTTCTAAAGGGAGGAGGAGGTGGTAAGCCTTTTTTCTCCTCTCCCTCTTTGTCCTGCAGAGTTAAGGAAAAACAAGTCATTGTAATCCAGGAAAGTGGAACTGATTGTAGCCCAGGCTGCGACTCTCTCATCCTGCCTGGGCTTCCCCTGCCCTAGAAAGCAAGGCACATAGGTGATGAATAAGGGCAATTGTTTTTAAAAGCCTTCCTTAAAAGTACCTTGAGCAGTTTTTCATCAGAGATGTCTTGTTCTGTGTGCAGATGGCAGGTAGGTGGGCAGTAGTTGTAAGAAGTATTTTAAGACTTGTAGAATAGCAAGCGTTCAGGAGAGACTATAGCAACCGCCAACCAGACCCTGTTAGCATGGATTCTGGAGTCCCTTCTTCAGAAGTCTCTCTTTGGCAGAATCTTTTCCTTCATTTTGTACTCAATCAGCAGAGGGGCTCTGGGCTGCCATCAAAGCAAAGACAGACCAATTAACTAGACCAATGCCCATTCCTAGTGTCTGAAATGATTGGTTGGCAGTATTGGATTAGCAAGAGTCCAGTTAAGAAAAGCAAAACACTGACGAGCCCTATTCTGTATGGATTGTCCACGTGACCAAAGAACAAGATAGTGCAAAGTGTGAGGTAGCCTGACTTTTCTCCTCCTCCAGTATTTGCAGTAACTTCCGCTTTAAGAGCTGGTTTCTGGCTCACAATTAGTGAAAGCTCCCACAGACACATGTTGTCCTTGTTGTTAAGTGCCATCACATACTGACCCTGCATAGAGTTTCTAAAGAGCAGCTGGTGGATTTGAACCACTACCCTTGCAGTTAGCAGTCCAGTGCTTATCCTGCTGTGCCACACATGTGGCAACCACAAGCTGTTCTCCTTGCAGTTGTCTTTTCTGTGCCTCACCAAGCTAGCAAGGACAGCTGAGATCCACAGATACCACCCAGAGTCTCTGTAACCCCCACTACTCATCTCTTCATGTTTTCTAAGAAACGAAGCCTTCGGATTCAGTTTTCCACCTCTGTGTGCTGGGTGGTTTGTATTAAACCAGAAATACCAAACCTACTGTCACCCTGTTATCAGGTCAGTTCTGACACATACAGTGTCACAATACGACAAAGTGGAACTGCCTCATGGGGTTTCTGAGCTTATAAATCTTTTTGGAAGCAAGACTACTACATTATTCTTCTTCAGAGCAGCTGGTGGGTTCAAACCACTGACATTTCCACTAGCAGCTCAGCATTTAGCCCACTGTATCACCAGGGATCCTTTGTTTGTGTTAAAGTGCTATTAATTAGGGGACTATCCATTTCATTTGTCACAGTCAAATGAAGGAGAAATAAAAGGCTGGGTTTGACCTATAGTATTGCACTTATCACTTGCTCTTGATGTGGCACTGTAGGATCAGCATTGGACTGCTAACCACAGGGTTGGCAGTTCAAACTCACCAGCTGCTGCTCAAAAACCCTATACTGGGTGACTATGAATCAGAACAGATTCAATGGCACTCATCAGCAACCACTTGAAAAAAAGGATTAGTTTGTTTACATTAGACATTCCAAATTGGGGTCAGTTAAGTTTCATTTTCCAGTGAGGCTCAGATATGAATTTGACTTGTCTAGCTGTTGGGACAGTAGGCCATATAACACCCCAAGTTTGAAGATGACAGGCATAACTTCTGGACCCAGCTCTGTCCCCAACCTACAGTAAGCCAGGTCTCTTGCTTCTGGATTTTATCTTCCCATCTGTGAGGTGAGAAGCTGGGCCAGATCACCTGTTTTCTAGGCCTGACTGGCCAGACTCACCTGTCCTGCTCTTTAATGCACACATTCCCTCATTCTACCTTGGATATTCTGAGTCAATAAATCTGTTTCAGCCAAACTCAGAAATGACTAGACCAGCTAATCTATAAAAACTCTTGATTTTTAAGGTTCTATAAGTATAGAATCAGAGCATGGAATGTACTAAGTATGAATCTAGGAAAACTAGAAATTGTCAAAAATGAAATGGATGGATTGGCCATGTGGCAGCATTGATGAGCTCAAACATGGCAACAATTTTGAGGTTGGCCCAGGACCAGGTATTGTTTCATTCTGTTGTGCTATGAGTTGATACTGACTTGATGGCACCTAAGAACAACAACAATCAGTATAGAAAGATTGGTTTTCTCCTACCAGAGCTTGATGGGCCTGGCCACAGCTCTAAAACCTTGAAAGCGTTCATTTGGATAGGCTTCAACTTTGTTTTTGGTGACCCCTGCCCCCGTTTCATAATCTTCCAGTTTTGCAGAATAAGAACAACACACACACCGCAGCAGAACCTGCCTGCTGCCCTGTACTAGAGGGCCAGCCACCTGCTAATGGAAGTGTGGATCTTCAATGTTTATAGCATTGATCAAAGGTATTATCAAAACAATGCAGATGATTGGCTGTCAAGAATTGGTTTTTAGGTGATTTGGATTAAGACCAGCTAAGATCAGGTAAGCTAAATCCCAGGAACTTGCTATCACTGGGAGTCTTAGGGTGCTGATTGTCCCCAGTACACTTGGTCCTGAAAATTTTTCTTCTTCCAGTCAAAATGGGGAAGAACAGATGATCAGTGATCAAGTGATAGAATATTCTAGAGCGTGGAATCTGTAGCCTTCTTTTGGACTCTTCCATATCCTGGGTTGCATGTAAGCAAATACGGGATAGGCATCTGATAAGAGGGGATCCCTTTTGATTTTTCCTATAGACCAAGCCTGCCTTCTTGTTTCCTAGAACTCAGATGGGATGCTGGGAAGGAGAGCATGTACACTCACTGTGTGGCCTCTAACTAGTATACCCCAAAGTCTTCCCTGTACTGTACAGCCAGAAGCTATTGAGATTCAAAAGTCCTTCTTTCTGTTCAGAGTGTGGGGCAGGTCTCAGAAAACATCTCCTGTTTCCTCATCTATAGCGTAGCCTTGGACCCCTTTTAAGACTAGTAGAAAGATTGATAACCGGGTGCTGTCAAGTCAACTCTGACTCATGGTGATCCAAGTGTGTCAGAGTAGAACTGTGCTCCACAGGGTTCTCAATGGCTGGTTTTCTAGAAGTAGATCCTGAGGCTTTCTTCTAAGACACCTCTGGCTGAACTTCGGTTAGCAGTCAAGTGTCACCATTTGCATCACCCAGGGACTGGAGGCAGATTGACTCATCCTAGAAGTGAATGAGCTTCAGGGGAAAGGACATATTCCAGAGAACTGAGCCACATTTGTTCAAGAAACCTCACATTCAGCATCTCTGGGAAGTAGCCAGGAATGGACCTCACTCAGAGCAGAGACTGGTGGATGGGGCTTGGACCAACAGAAAAGAGAATGTGGAAAGAAGCCCCTCACAGTAGAGAGGGTGTGACAAGTTTTCTACCTCATCCTACTGACTAGAAAGGTTAGCATAAAAGCCTTCTGGCCCTAAGCCTCACAGCTCATCTCAGTCCTGGGTCAGCTGAGCAAGTAGCAGTCAAAGGCATAGGGACCCTGGTATTTGGGATCATGACCAACAAGCCGGCCCAAGTATCCTTTTGCCCACCGTAGGGTGGAAATCTGGCATGTGATGGGGCCCACTCCCTCGCCCACGTCTCCAGGGAGGCACATTTTCAAGTACGGATCTCTTTTGTTCAGTTCTTCTCCCACCAGGATCTTTCTTTAACGCGCATGTGTGCAGTCCTCATGCTCACACACCACCCAGTCACTCCTCTTCTGTTTGATGGTCCATGTCCAGACCACACACTCCATGCATCCTTTGTTTACTGCACTCAGTAGAGATCTCTGTCTCCTTATGAAAAAGGCCTCATTTATTTTTATTTATCTGTTTGTTTTTGCAGTAGAACTATCTCTAATTCCATTAGCTTAAATTTTCGCAAGCATTTCTAATCTCTTACAATGCGCGGTTTCTGCAAGGTAAGGCCTCAGGTACCCCAGCCTGTTCCCTTTCACACCTGAGGTCCCACCGCCACCACAGTACCAATCAGCTGGCTCCCAGAGGTCAGTGGACTCCCCTAGGGTGTTTTGCCTGCCCACTTCCTCCCTCGCACCACTCTTTCCACACATAGTTCCCTTCCAATCCCTGCCCCATGCTGATAATTTTTCCCACCATATTGTTTAGAATTTCTCTCCCTGGCTTCACCTTGAAGTTCCAAAGAGAATTACAAAGCTGCTGCCTTGTCACCTGGCAGATGGCCCTGAGCCCTGACCGAGATTCGTCCCTCCCAACAGTCTGGGACCCTGCCTGAACCGAGGATGTGTATTACTGATCCACAATCCCTAAACGTCTCCCAGATCTACTTTGACCCAGCCCCCACCCCCCAGACCCTTTGTTTCCACTAGACTGAGACCAGGGTGGGGGAGGGAACAGATGCAGCTCGGGGATGGAAAAGAGCAGGAAAGGAAAAAAAATTGAAACAGGAACCCCCAAACTCACTCTCTTTTCTACCTCCTCCAGGATCCACGCACATTCTCACTCCACAGAAACTGCTGGACACGCTGAAGAAACTGAATAAAACAGATGAAGAAATAAGCAGTTAAAAAAATAAGCCACCTCTCCCAACAATGCCCTCTCCTCCCACCATGCTCCACAGCTCCCCTACTGGCCTCCTGGTTACTTTGCAGCCCCTACCTCTTTCCCTCCATCACCACCACCTCAGCTCTGCACGCCCAAGCCGCCTTCTCGTGTTTAATGATGCCATCTTCTCATTTGAAACAAAAGAAAATAATGCATTGTGTTTTTTAACAAGAGTATCTTATATATGTATCTCAAAAAGAGAAATTCATGAGCAAGTGATGCACTGCTGGAGACATTTTTGAACTGTTTTGAATGAATGGACACCTCCCTGTTATTTATGACTCTTTGCCCTTGTACATAACCCAATGCGACATGTGGAAATTATTTGCGTATGGAAAGGTACACCTTTGGATGTCGTTAAAAACTTGTTTTGGGTTGTCTCTGTTCTTGAATTAGAGGAGTTTGTGTTTTAGAAGTATTTCAAACTGAGGATTAATCTGTTCACTCTGCTTCCTATCCCTCATGCCTGCTTTCATCCAAATAAGGTCAGTCATGAAATTCAGGTGACGTGTTATGAGACATGAAGTGGAATAGAATCTTTGCTGTCTCCCAGTGACTGGTCCTCCGGTGGTGGAACTGTATGTCAGGTGCTGGCTGCCATCTCTCCTCCACAGCCTGGTCCGTTTCCACAGTGTTGTGATCCTGAGGGAAGTTGTTCTCAGGTCCGTTTGAGTCATGGTGCCCAGCCACTGAAAAATGAGCTCCTGGCCATAGACCGTCAACTCTTGGAGAAGCATCCTACTGACCAGACTCCTTCCTTCCCTGGGTCAGCTGGGTAGAACTCAAGGATAAGGAATAGACTAGAACAGAATGGGTTCTGGAGGTTGCTGGTCAAAGAGCTGTTTCCTGTAGAGGCTAAAGACAGGTTCTTGGCACTAGGACTCCAAACCACCTGAAGAATAGTCTATTGGATTTATACAGCCACTACCTACCCTATGAGGCAGAACCAACTCCACAGTACTTAACAACAACAACCTACCCTGTAAGCAACTTGTCAGATTATCCTCAGTTTCAAATACTCATGCTACTTTTTATGTGTGTATTGTGGGGTCATGTCATTGTACTTATGAGAGAAAATGATCATTTTATGCTCTGTATAAAATTGTAGCTGTATAAAATGTAGCTCAAAGGCAAAAATTTAAAGATGCAAATGCAGAAAGGATGTTGGCAAGACTCAGCAGTTTGTTCTCCAGTAGTGAGCGCGCCATTTGTTCCACCGCTGTAGTCGTGAAATACACTGACAGTGGAAATCACAAAAAATGTCCCCTACTCAGCCCCCTCTGTCCTTTTAACTCCTGCAGACTGTGTGTATATTACCGTCTTGTGGTGTTGTTGCAAACGTGGTGTATGCTACTTCAACGCAGCCGCTGCCTGCCTTTCAGAATATGTCCCTCCCCATCCCCTAGATGCATTGTGGTGTTCTCAAGGCTTTGAATCTCCCCCACCCCCAGCCCACCTTGGCATTCAGATTAGTTTTCAGGTCTCTTCTCTGTCTTCCTTCCCCCTTCCCAAAGATATCTTATTTCCCTCTGACAGAACTGTAGGTACTTGAATTGATTTGTTTCTTACTGTCATTGCCTGTTTTGTCCCTTCCCTTTTACCAAACCACGCTTATGCTTCAAGACCTTGTTTGTCAAACATGTTGGTTTTCCTTTCTCTGTTATTTATATAAAAATAATTTATCAGAAGGCTATTTTAAAAAAAGAGCTAGTCTGTCTTGAAACTTGTTTACCTTGAAATTATCAGAATCTCAATGTTTGAAAGTATTGAAGCACAAATATGTATCATCTCTGTACCGTTCTGTACTAAAGCACTGGAGTCTAATAAATAAATCAGTCAGCGCCATCCGCAGTATCCAAGTCCACTCCTGATCTGGTTTTACTTTGGGGAGTGGAAAGGGAAAGGTTCCTATGTTCCACTGCTCAGGAACCCAGCCACCTCCACCCACGACTCGGAAACCTTGAGCCAGGTCACCATTATTTGTATTTCCCAGCTGTCTCATATCTGGGGAAAATCCACAAAGCTTGTCTTGCACCTCCAATAGCAACAGGGCATTATCTGTAGAGACAGTAGTTCTCCCACTGCCCTGTTTTCCCTTATCTAGAATGTCTGTCCATCTCAGAGACTGTGAGGCTTTGTCTTTGCAAATGCTCCCTCCTTGGGCATGTGATGGCAGTGTATTTAGTCATTATCAGTGTCCACTGCTCGTCTTCTCTGTTCACTGCTGCCACACCATCCAGCCCATGGGCAATGACATTTCCACATAGCAGGCTGCTGGGTGGCCTGCTGGTCTTGAAGCCTATTCTTTACCTAGAGAAACTGCTGTAAAGTTGATCCAACCTAGGGAGTGGCCCTGAAGTTAGGGTTGAAGTCACATGGAAACCTGCTGGAATGATGATCACACGGTAGTGAAATTCTTTGTCAAACTTGTATGTCTACTCTTTGTCTCTAGTTTATCATTCAATCCTGATCTCCTGGATAGCCTTAAGAAATCTAACAATGCAAAGCCAGTTGGTGAAATTTCACCATCCCAACCCTGCTGCATGCTGTAAGGCGATAATGGTGATAATGATGATTGAATGAGCTCTCTTTGTCCCCTATTTTGTGGGGCCCCTCCCCATTTTACCGAAAAGGAAGCTGAGGTTCAGAGAGATGCAGTAACTTACGAAGATAGTTCCAATTGGGAGAAGCATCAGATACTGATGTTCTTGTATCAGTAATTACTTTACCAGTAACCAAAGTGGCTTGGAGTAGGATCAACATTAGAATTTTTCATTTTTGAGTTGTTTCAAACCAAATTTACATTAAATAAAGCAAGTAAATACTGTTTCCTCCTCCTTCCCTAGTCATCTCTGTCCCTCCAGGCCCTGTGGCTGTCTATTCTCTCCCTGGTTGTTTCTGTCACTCACTGACCTCCCCAGCAGAATGGACCTTTATGCTCCTGACAGCCATCTGGTTCTGCGGGCCATTCCTCCAAAAAGTGTCCAATGCTCAATATTCACTGAGGGGCAGAGGGTTCTCAAATAAATCAAAGCCTATAGTGTTGAATTAGTAAGCAATCTGAAGATCAAGACAGGTCCATAAAATTAAGGAAAACAATTATTAGAAAGCTACAGTAATCAAGGCATATCTTTATATGAAGTAGAATTCAAAGTCCAGAAATAAACTTGCATATTTATAGTCATTTAATTTTTTCTAAGGAAGACAAATAGCCTTCAACACAGGCTACACAACTATTGTTGTTGTTATTATGTGCCGTCGAGTCTATTCTGACTCATAGCAATTCTGTATAGGGTTTCCGAGGAGCAGCTGGTAAGTTTGAACCACTGACCTTACGGTTCAACCAACCTTGAGTTCAAGCGCTTATCCTATGGCACCACATCTATCACAGCTATAGGCACATGCAAAGTATATACCTCACAGTATATATGAAAATTAACTCAAAATGGATCAAAGACCTAAATGTAAAAGTAAGTTAATTATAGAACTCTCAGAAGAAAATGTTGGTGTAAACCTTCATAGCCTGGAGTTGGGCAATGGTTTATTATAGCTCACAACCAAAGCACACGCAATAAAATAAAAGTAGGTAAAAGGAGCTCTGGTAGCGTAGTGGTTACGAATTGGGCTGTGAACCTTAAGGTCAGCGGTTCGAAACTACCAGCTGCTCCGCGGGAGAAAGATGAGGCTTTCTACTCCCGTAAAGATTTACACCCTCGGAAACCCTATACAGGGTCGCTATGGGTCGGAACTGACCCGACGGCACTTAACAACAAACAACAACAAACTGTTCTTAGGTGCCATCAAGTTGGTTCAGGATCAGAGTGACCCTATCACAACAGATCTGAACACTGCCCAGTCCTGCAGTAAGGATGGCGTGTGCAGGTCTGATCAGGTACACTGGACATGCACAAAATGGGAGGGAATGTCCGTAAATCATATAGCTGAGTCAGGATTTTTCATCATTAGCAGTCAAGGAAATACAAATCAAAACCACAATGAGATACCTTTTTCCCACTAGGATAATGTTATGGAGTCCTGGTGTGGCCCTATTGAATCAGCACCAGACTGTGAACCACAAGGTCTGCAGTTCAAACCCATAAGCTATGCCTCAGAAACCCTATACAGAGTTGGAACTGACTCGATGGCACTTTGACAACAGGATCATGTTACCTATTTATCTTGGGCTGTTAATGAGTTTCCTCCGATCCTGATGACACGTTCTTCATATAATCTATTTTATCAGATTATTTGCTCAGCATACAAACTAAATAAGTATGGTTAAAAGATACAACTCAGGCACACACCTTTCCTGATTTTAAACCGTTCAATATCCTCTTGTTATGTTTGAATGACTACCTCTTGTTCTATGTACAGGTTCCTCATGAGCACAATTAAGTGTTCTGGAATAGCCTTTGAAATGTTATTCATGGTTTGCTATGATCCACACAGTCAAATGCCTTTGCATAGTCACTAAGGTATAAGTAAACATCTTATATTCTCTGCTTTCAACCAAGAGCCCACTGACATCAACAGTAATATCCCTAGTTCCACATCCTTTTTCTAAATCCATCTTGAATGTATGACTTCTCCCTGTTAGCTACCCAAAATGGGGTACTTCTGCAAACGTTTTTAAATTATCTTCAGCAAAAATTTTACTTAGTAATATTAATAATGTTCAATGATATCTGCATTCCTTGGGGTCACTTTTCTTTGACTTGAACACATATATGGATTTCTTCTAATTGGTTGGCCAAGTTGCTGTCTTCCAAATTAGTACTTCAGCTCTAGAGCAGTTTGTTGAGATGTTTCAGTTTGTAGTCCATCAATTCCTAGAGGCTTTTTTTTTTTTTTTGCCAATGCCTTCAGTGCAGCTTGGACTTCTTCCTTCAATACCATTGGTTCTGGAAACGATTGAAATGGTCAGAGACTTCACTTGGCTTGGATCTACAATCAACACTCACAG